CCCTGAGGGAGACCCGGATGCACTAGACATCCCGACTCCGCGCTCTTACGCGGAGGCCGTAGAGGGTCCCTACTCCTCTCAGTGGCAGGCAGCTATGGATGCAGAGATGGCTTCCTGGAAGTCCACAGGCACCTACGTTGACGCGGTTCCCCCTCCTGGGGCGAACATCGTCAGTGGCATGTGGATCTTCAGGGTGAAGCGGCCGCCGGGCTCTCCACCTGTCTTCAAGGCACGGTACGTTGCTCGTGGCTTCAGTCAGCGGCACGGAGTTGACTACTTTCAGACCTTCTCTCCCACCCCGAAGATGACCACTCTTCGGGTGCTGCTGCACATAGCCGCTCAGCGCGACTACGAGCTTCACTCTCTCGACTTCAGCACTGCGTTCTTGCAGGGTAGCCTGCACGAGGAGATCTGGCTTCGCCGTCCACCTGGCTTCACTGGGACTTTCCCTCCTGGCACCCAGTGGAGCCTCCGACGGCCAGTCTACGGTCTCCGCCAGGCACCGCGTGAGTGGCACGACACACTGAGGACTACGCTTGCGGCTCTTGGGTTTGCTCCTTCTACTGCTGACCCGTCGCTGTTTCTTCGCACCGACACTTCCCTGCCGCCGTTCTACATCCTCGTGTACGTCGACGACTTGGTCTTTGCCACAGCGGACACTGCTGGACTCGCCTACGTGAAGTCCGAGCTGCTGAAGAGACACACGTGCACAGACCTGGGTGAACTACGCAGCTACCTTGGCTTGCAGATCACTCGGGACAGAGCACGCCGCACCATTACCTTGACTCAGTCACACATGGTGCAGCAGGTCCTTCAGCGCTTCGGCTTCACGTACTCCTCGCCTCAGGCCACTCCTCTGCCTACTCGCCACTCACTCTCAGCTCTGCCTTCGGATGAGTCCGTAGAGTCGAGTGGTCCGTATGCAGAGCTTGTTGGCTGCCTCATGTACCTGATGACCTGCACACGACCTGACCTTGCATACCTTTGAGCATTCTTGCACGCTATGTTGCTCCTGGGAGACACAGACCAAAGCACATGGCTGCAGCGAAGAAGGTATTGCGCTACCTGTGCAGTACGTCGGGCATGGGGCTAGTGCTTGGAGGGCGGAGTCCAGTGGTCCTTATCGGCCACGCGGACGCTTCTTGGGCTGACGACCAGGCTACTCAGCAGTCGTCACAGGGTTACACCTTCAGCCTTGGTTCCGGCTCTGTCTCGTGGCGGTCTACTCGCTCGTCTTCGGTTCTCGGCTCCAGTTGTGAGGCTGAGATCTACGCCGGGGCCATGGCTGCACAGGAGCTTCGCTGGCTCACCTACCAGCTGACTGACCTTGGAGAGCCGCCTCGTTCTCCTCCAGTGCTGTACGTAGACAACAAGGCCATGCTGGCCTTGTGTCGAGAGCAGCGCTTGGAGCACAGAACGAAGCACATTGCTCTCCGCTACTTCCTTGCTCGTAAGCTGCAGCAGCGTGGTCAGTTGCGACTTGCGTACGTGGCCTCTGAGGCCAACACTGCTGATGTGTTCACCAAGGCACTCGCGCCTTGTGACCATCAGCGCTTTTGTACCCAGCTGGGTCTTGTACCTGTCTTACCTCACTTGCTCTCCTCTTGACTTCACTTGTACTGTGACATACCGTCACCCCCCGGATATACCCCCATGGGGGGCAATAATAAAACAGGTTTTTTCAAGGGGGTGGGCTTATAATCGAGTAAATTTATAAGCGCCGGCGTTTATAAAATGACATTCATATTTTTTATATTTTTTAACACCAAACTGTAGGTCTCGTGCTTGCCCTTTCAATCGAGTCGAATTTACATGGGGTCGTCTGTGAAATTCTCGCGCGCGCTGGGAGACACACCCAATCTGACTCACATCCAGCTCCTGACAGCTCCTGCTGACTGGACCCGCATCCAGTGCAGGGTCCGAATGTGAAGGGAACCGAATCTGCAACATATCTGCCTGCTAAAGTAAAAATCATTACAACGTTTTGTACACATTTCAAATTTTAAAGTTTACGTGCGCTTATAATAAAACTAGTTTTTTCAGGGGGTGCGCTTATAATCGAGGAGGGGATATAAGCGCCATATGCCAATTAGAAGCGCCAGGCGCTTATCCTAGGGTGGCGCTTATATCCGGGGGGTGACGGTATATATATACCTGCTCTTGTTTGTCTAGTTTTATATATATGTCTGTACTCCTGCATGTGAACTGGCCTCTGGCCCTGCTCTTGTGCTCGGACTGTGTGGTGACTTTGTGATCCACCCTGAGCTTGCTCTGCTTTGCTTTACTTGACTGGTCTTGTGACCCCTTGCTCTCCCCCACTTTGCCTATGGGGGTGTGTCAGATTTATATGACATATTTGCTGTAGGCTATAGTGGGGTAGCACATATGGGGTACAGGGTTTCTAGGGTTGTATTTGTACCCAATCTTTCCTTAGTCATTCTCATTCCTGTTCACTTGTTTCACAAAAGCCGCCGACGCAATTCGCAAAGCGAATATTACTTCCCGCAAATACACCAACCTTCTTCGCCGGGAACTCGTCTTGACTACTGGGCAACTAGTCCTCCTCGACACGAAAAACCTGAACATGCCCGGCCCTGCAAAACTTCGGCCACGATTTTGCGGACCGTTCAAAATCCTCAAGATGGTGACACCTGTCACCGCGAAGCTGTTGCTACCCAACGATTGGCGTATACATGACGCGTTCCACATCAGCCTTCTTCGGAAGTTCGTGCCTACCACGACCGACATCGCACGTCAGCAAGCGGCCCCGACAGCTCGCCCCGTCCCGGAGCCAACACTTGACCCTTCCAAGATTCTCGCTCATCGAATCCGCCTTGACGCCGCTGGACGCCACATGGATTTCTTAATTCGCTGGACCGACCGCACCAGTGAGGACGACACGTGGGTGCCATCCGCTTCAATGGACGCCTCGACACTTGTTGGTGATTATCTAGCGCGACGGCGTGTTTCGGCCATTGACTACCTTTCTTAAGGGGGGGGGGGGGGGGGGGGGGGGGGGTGGTGTAAGGAATTTTCCCGGATTCCTTATCGGGGTTGACTGCTTCGCGTACAACCCGATTTTCGGAGTTCGCACGTTCGGCCGATTTCAACGCTGCCGAGGCTACTCACGTCGCCTTCGGCTTTCCCATCGCCAAACCTGCACCCAATCCTCGCTCGTCCGAGGTTTCCTCCTAGCTAGAGTAGTCCTACATTAGTCTGTGCATTCATTGTATTCGCAGTTGATTCAGTCACAGCTTCGTTATTCGTTTACCTGCGCACTCTCTTTTACAACTCATAACAATTATCCTTAGAGTCACCCTTAAACTACCTTACTCTAACAACCCATTCCATCCATCCCACTCGTACTAGACCGAGCGTTGACATTTTTTTGTAAACCCTCGGCCACAGCGAGCCCACCTCAGTTGCCAGCTTTGTTCTGGATCGGGACTGGTCTCTCTGAACTGAACCAGCAATTGCCGCCTTCGTCAGTTGGGTCCTCGTCAACCCTTGTCCTTTGACCATTTTGGGTCTTCGTGTTGTGTGGATTTTGGAGAGAAGCGGGAGGTGGATGAGGAGGGGGGGAGCGGAGGGGCGGGAATCGTGGGTGCCAGGTCTCGTTTCTTTTAAGTTTTGAGGTGCCCAAATTTCGAAAAAAAAAATACAGAAGGAAACTGCTTCAGAGGTCTACGCATATTTCAAGACAGTGGTTAACCTCTGAGAAATGCCATTGGCGGGAATCTTCTGAGCCTCGGAGCGTTTCTGACGTGGCGGACATATGGACTGTGGTTTTCCAGTGCCATGGACAAGATTACCTGTCTATGGTTGGTCTCTCTCTCGCCTTCGCACTTCCGCTTCTCTACCAGCGGTTTTTTTTCACCTTTGTCCCCCAAAACAGTTCGTCCTCACTTCCTTTCTCCTTCCTCGTAATCCCCGCTTGGCCTCCCTCATCGTGGCGCCTACCTCACGAATTTACGATCCCGCCCCTTTTCCTCCCCCCCCTCTCCCCACCACCGACTTCTTTTCGCCAACCCCCCGCCCCTCATCCCCCTCATTCAAGGCGTGTAACTTTTCCTGATATATAGACAGATGGAAGCTCAAATCGAGGTTTCGCGAATCATTCGGATCTCGTCAGAAATGCTGTGATGCTAAAGCTCGGTGTTTTCATAAGTAACATGTGCATTGGATAGTTGAACTAGATCGGACACTCGACTCTGTTACAGGAGGGTTCAAGAACCTGAAATTCAGGTTCATTCTCGAACAGAAAGCATCGCAAATGGTCGTTGATCTACGGCCGATCGGCTCATATGTGACACGCTCTTGCTTAAAGTAATCCAGCCGGGCCAGTTTCCAGTCCACTAATTCCTCCCCCTCTCCCCCGATGCCTCCCCCTCTCCCCCGACGCCTCTCCCTTCTGCTCTGCTCCCCCCGCCTGGACCTTGGACCTCCCTGAATCGCTTCCCTTCAAGTGCCGCGGTGCCATCTGGTCTGGACTCTGGACCCTGGACTCGCTGCTGGACTCTGGACTAGGGCACTGTGTGGCCTCCTCTGCCATATACTACCACCTTCACCTTCTAAACAATAAAGTCGGAAGAAGTTCTTCTGTGTTATTTCGTAAATCGTTTCGCGCGGCGTGCGGTTCATTCTACTGTCAACACAGATCGCTGACAGCAGGTCAAAACCTGCATCCCCATAGCCGGTAGTATCGTTGCGGCGAGCATTTGCAGCGCTCCGTCTCGTGGGACGACTCATGGTTGCGCGTTAATCACGTACGTCAGCTGCCTTACACCTTAGGCGGTTTGACCTTCGCGAACGTGCGGGAGACACAGTGGATCTCAAAGCGAGGCGAGGGAAACCTGGGAACAATCGGCGACGTGAATGGGAAAATTTTGATGGGATGCCCTGCTTAAACAATGATGATGACGATGTCGAATGGCGGTGCGACGAATAGCGGTGCGACGAATAGCGGTGCGACGAATAGCGGTGCGACGAATAGCGGTGCCATGGCGAATGGCGGTGCAGCGGCGATTAACGGTGGAGCGGCGATTGGCGGTGGAGCGGCGGCGGATAAAAGCGGCGCCGCGACGGGTTTCGGAACAGGCAGCGGCGAAGCGAGGGGAGGCGGCGGGAAGTCGGCGGTGACGAGCGCGGGAACCGGCGACGGCAACGGGTCGATGGAAGAAGGCGCTTCGGTGGGGAAGAAGTCGGGAGGCACGAGGCGGCTGGCGGAACGCGGAGCGGACGGGAAGCGGCCGCGCAAGCGGTGCAAGCTGGTGCTGTTCGAGAGCCGTCTGCCGCGCGACGGGTTCGTGTGGCTCAAGTACGGCCAGAAGGAGCTGTCGGGCGGCACCATGACGAGGTGCGTCGCACGATGGCGGGATATTGTCGCACACAATCTTCGCACACAACGATATATCGTCGCACGCAATCACGCGATATTGTCGCACACCATGACGAGGTATTGTCGCACACCATGGCTGGGTACGTCGCGCACTTCCGACGGGGTATCGTCGCACACAACACGGGACGGGAACATACAATGACAGGATATCGTCGCACACAATGACGAGGTATCGTCGCTCGCACCGCGCTAACGCATAACACCACACGACTTTGCCATGCCGCTGCCATGCTTGTTGCCGCAGATCCCCCGCGCGCTCCTGACATCTTCCGGCCCAACGCGGCCTTCACATGTCCCCTTTGAAAGGCGCCGTGCCTCGTCGCTCATCCCAGTGCCGCTCTGCGTTCCCATCTTCCCCCTCGTTCCCCCTCCCATCCCTCACCTTATAGCTACTAGTAACGCCCTTCCCTCTTGCCCCCTCCCCTTCCGCTCTGCTGGCGCGCTCCCCGCTTCGCGTGCTGGTGGCGGCAGGCACTACTTCAAGTGCAACGCGGCGGACTCGGCGGCTGCGTGCGAGGCGAAGCGCATCGTGGACTACAACAAGGTGGACCCCCGCCACCCCATCCGCGTCTCCACCACCGGCGCGCACAACCACGACGCGCCCGCCGCCCCGCTCGGCCTCAGCCTGTGCAGGGAAGGGGAGGCGGCAGGCGAGGGGGGCGCGGGGGCCGCGGGGGGCGAAGGGGACGACGGGGAAGAGGGGGAGGTGTTTTATGAGAGAACGGGGGAAGATCGGGAGTGGGGGGAAGAGGAGGAGTACTACCAGCAGCCGCCGCCGCCCCCGCCATTGCCACTACCACAGGCGCCGGCACTGCCGCCGCCGCCCCCGCAGCAGCAGCTGCAGCAGCAGCGGTCCCCTCTGATGCACCAACTGTCGGCTCCTGTTGGATTCTCCGCCTCCCACTCCCACTCCCCGCACGCCTCCTCCCTCCCACCCTCACAAGCGTTCGCACATGGCGACCGGCGGCTGGCGCTCTCAAACCCGCGCACCCACTCCAAGCCCTCCGCGCCCCCTTGCTCCCCCTCCCACCTGCCCCTGCACGCCCCTCCGCCGCCGCCCAACGCTCTTCCAGACCAGCACGGCGGGGCCCTGGCTGCGTTTCCGCAGCAACAAATATCCTCGCTACAATCACAGAACGTATCCTCGCTGCAGCGACAATCCCCCTTACAGCGTCAATTCTCGTTGAAGCAACAAGACATTTCTTCATTACAGCCACAAGCCATGTCCTCCTTACAGCGCCAACCCTCGTTACAGCCACAGGCCCTGTCCGCCTTACAGCGGCAGTCCGCGTTACAACCCGGCTCAATGCTTCCAGGAGTGGGGTGCGCGAGAGGCAGAGTGCGCATGGGGAGTGCGCTGACGGCCCTGGCATGGCGGCAGGGGGGAGAGCTGGAGGGGCAGCACGGAGGGCAGGGACAAGGGTGGCGGGAGCAAGGGTGGCATGAGCAGGGGCGGCAGGAGCAGGGGCGGCAGGAGCAGGGGCGGCAGGAGCAGGGGCGGCAGGAGGAGGGGCGGCAGGAGCAGGGGCGGCAGGAGCAAGGGCGGCAGGAGCAAGGGCGGCAGGAGCAGGGGCGGCAGGAGCAGGGGCGTGTGGGAGACACGGCAGGAGTGTCGGAGGCCGCTCAAGAGGGCAGGCAAGCCGTGTCGCCCCCTCTGCCCACACCCATGCCGCCCGCACCCATGCCCGCACCCATGCCCGCACCCATGCCCGCACCCATGCCCGCACCCATGCCTGCACCCATGCCCACACCCATGCCCGCGCCCATGCCAGCAGCGGTGCCAGCAGCAATATCTGGAGTGGGCAGGGAGGGTGGAGCGGGGGATTGGCTTGCGGAACGACAAGCAGCAAGAGCGGCAGAAGCATCTGACGGGCAGCCGCGGCCGCTTGGGCGCACAGCATCTGCACCCGTGGGGCGGATTGGGGCGGCGGAGGGGGGTGGGGCAGCGGCGGGTGGGGGGCGAGGGGGGCCTCGGCAGGCGTTTGGCGTGGATTGCTCCATGCCTCTGCTGCAGCAGTGGCTGCAACACCGCGCCACACAAACCCAGCAACAGCAGCCGCTGAGCCCACCGCAGCCGCCAAGCCTTCCACAGCAGCAAAGAGTCCAGCGGCCACCTTCACAGCAGCAGCAGCAGCAGCAGCAGCAGCGAACACAAGAAGCGTCGGGCGCACCGACGGGTGATGGACACCCCATGGGAGCAATGAGACGGCACGAGGACGGTGCGATGGGAGCAGTGGCGACGGCAGGCGCAGCTCAGGCAGCAGAGGGAGCGCCTCAACGGTTGGTGCGGCAGGGCCAGGCACAGGTGGCAGAGGCACAGCAGGCAGCACAGGTGGTAGCGCAAGCACAGCCCAGGCAGGCATCACACAAATCATCAGTTCCCATCCCAGCAGCAGCAGCAGCACCACTAGAGGCAGAGGCGACAACCCGAGGCACCTTTCCTGATCATGCAGCGCATGCCCCACGCTCAGCGCCGCCAGGGTCAGCGGCGCCACACGCGGTGGTGGCAGCGCGGGTGGAGGCGCTGCGGCGGCAGCAGGAGGAGGCGACGAGGAGGGAGGTGGAGGCGGCAGCAGCGGTGCGGCAGCTGGAGGCGCAGCTGGAGCAGCAGCGCGCCGCCGCCGCCCAGGCGCGCGCCCGCGCTGCTGCCGCCCAGGCGGAGGCGGAGATGAAGCTGGCCGCCCTGCGGAGACAGCTGCAGGCGGAGCACAGCCCCCGCGACGGAGGAGCGGCGGCTGGGGGCGTGGCGGCGGAGGGGGTGGCCGCTGGTGGGGTGGCGGCTGGGGGTGTGACAGCTGGGGGAGTGGCGGGCGGGGGTATAGGGTCGAGGGCAGGGAGAGGGGTGGTGGTAAAGGAAGAGGCGATTGGGGAGGAGGCTGTGGCGGATGAGATGCCCGTGGGTCAAGGGCTGCAGCGAGATGACCAGCTGCTGCTGCTGCGACTGCTGCAGCAGCAGCACCTGCAGCAGCAACAGCAACAACAGCAGCAGCAACAACAGCAGCAGCAACAACAGCAGCAGCAACAACAGCAGCAGCAACAACAGCAGCAGCAACAACAGCAGCAGCAGCAACAGCAGCAACAGCAGCTACAACGGCAGCAGCAGCAGCAGCAGCAGCAGCAGCAGCAGCAGCAGCAGCAGCAGCAGCAGCAGCAGCAGCAGCAGCAGCAGCAGCAGCAGCAGCAGCAGCAGCAGCAGCAGCAGCAGCAGCAGCAGCAGCAGCAGCAGCAGCAGCAGCAGCAGCAGCAGCAGCAGCAGCAGCAGCAGCAGCAGCAGCAGCAGCAGCAGCAGCAGCAGCAGCAGCAGCAGCAGCAGCAGCAGCAGCAGCAGCAGCAACAGCAACAGCAGCACCAACAGCAGCAACAGCAACAGCAGCAGCAGCAGCAGCAACAGCAACAGCAGCACCAGCACCAGCAGCAGCAACAGCAACAGCAACAGCAGCATCGAGAGCAACAACAACATCAGCAGCACCAGCAGCAACAACGGTTGCATCACCAGCAGCAACAGCAGCACCTGCAGCAGCAACAGCAGCACCTGCAGCAGCAACAGCAGCAACAGCAGCAGCAGCAACGGCAGCAGCAGCAACAGCAGCAGCAGCAGCAACAGCAGCAGCAGCAACAGCAGCAGCAGCAACAGCAGCAACAGCAGCAGCAGGGCACAGCACCGCGCAGTCCCCTAACCGTGCTCTCCCTGCGTTCAGCTCTCCCCTCCGCCTCACCGCCTCTTGCCTCACAGCCCCCTGCCCTCCCTACCACGCCACGTCTCCTTCTCGCACCCCCTACTCATGGCCCTCAAACCGAAGCCTCCTTACTTCCCCCACAACCCTCCGCGCCTGCCCCAGGTGTCACCTCCGCTTTCGCGCCAGTCACCACCTCCCCCACTACCAGCCAAAATTGCACCCAGGAACGCGGCGACAGCCAGTGCGAGAACCAGGGGGAGAGTGGGAGCATGAGAGAGGGTGCGGGAAGGGTGGAGAGGCAGGGGGGTGCGCGGGGCAGGAACAGCAGCACGGCGGCACTGGCGCTGTCACTGTCGTGTGTGGCGCTGCGCCTCGTGCTGCAGCTGCAGGAGGCTGCCAGGGCGGAGCAGCAGGGGGTGGTCGGTGCGGAGGAGAAGCAAGCAGGTGGTGGCGGAGAGGCGGATGGACGGAATGGGTCGGAGCAGTTTGGTGTGGGCATGGTGGCAGCTGCAGGTGGAGGTGTGGAAGCAGGTGGAGCAGGAAGCAGAGAGGGCTGTGGAGGGGGTGGAGCAGGCAGGGAAGCGCCATTCCTTGATGGCCCGGCTCACAGCGCTCCTGAGATGTCCACGCTCACTGCAGCCGCCGTGCCCACTGCCTCATCCATGGCTTTCCCCGGTGCTTTTCTGCAGGCGGGGGGCATGTGGGAGAGCAGGGGCGGTGTGAGGAGCAGAGTGGATGCCGTGGGCAGCAGCACAGGGGCGCCGCCCCCCAGCCCCGCGGACTCACATGCGCCCTGCAGTGCTGCCAGGCGTGTTGACGTGGAGCTGCGCCTCTGACCCTACCCATGCTGCCTCGCACCAATCCTGTCAATAGTCACGTGTTGTCCTCAGGTGCTGCACTGCTGCCAGGCGCGCAGATGTGGAGCACACGATATTTGACCGTCCTCATGCTGCCTTGTGCCAGCCCTGCTCCATGCTTTGTCGAATTTCTCTCGCTCTGAATTGAGCTTTCTTCATCTTCACGCTCTCCCTGTTCAGTTTATTCCCTCCGTTCTTTCGCTCCTCTTCATTCTTTCTGGCTCTGCTTCCGTGTCAGTTGTCACATGTCTTTCTTGCCACATGTTGGTACCACATTCGTGAGTGCTCCAAAGGTCTCGTCATAGGACGTAATAAAGTATAAATAAATTCATTGAATGCTGATTGCATGCGGTCTATTGACAAGCTTCAAACCCCGGAAATCCTACTGCACACGCATTCCACATGGCAAGCCAGCTACGCGCACTGCGCGTGGGCTACCTGCTCTTCCCCCCCAGCTCAGCTTGCGGCAGCCTCTCCCGCGAGCGGAGCGTCCATGCGCAGCGCGGAGCGCACGGCTGGCGCAACGGGGAACTCCGCTTCTGCGGGGAGCAGCCTCGCCGCTTCTTCCACCCTCCCCTCCCGCACGCCCAGTCGGTGCACCTCGCGGAACAGCTCCGTGACGTCAGCGATGCGCTCAATGTACTCCCCTCGCGCGTACGCAGCAGCGACGTCGCCTCTCAGCCCGATCTGGATGGAGCGGTAGTTGAGGCGATTCAACAGCAGGTCGCGCTCCGGATCCCACTGCACCACCACCTGACTCGCATTTCTGCGATTGTTTCTGTCAGGACGGGTTCCCTTGATAGCATGATGATGTGTGTCGTTGTTACTCGTCCTCGCCTCGTTCGTTGATGCGTCGCTTTGATCTTTCGCTAAAACTGCAGATTCAAGGATACGGTCGAAGCACTCTCGTTTTAGATCCACGGCCAGGATTCGCTCCTGATTCGCGTCTTTGAAGGAGTACCCCGCGCGGTACGCCATCCAGCAGAAGGACGGCTTGATCCACGTCATCCGGCCGAGCTTGAATCCCGGGCTGCTCGCAAAATTGTTACTTTCTGCGGCGGGAGCGGCGATGGTGTGGCTGTACGCCTGATACACGCGCACCGTCGAGTCGGTGAACGACGCACGAATCTGACGCTCCAGGGGGCTCGCCCGCTCAGAAGCGGCGCCGGAGGGCGAGAGGGCTGTGCTAGGCGGTGTGCTGCCGGCGTGCGAAGACGATGCTGAACCATTTTCGTGTGCCATTGTAACGTCGAGTCTACTAAAAAATGTCTGGAGATGATTAACTAGAACCAGGGCGGATGTATTGTCAGGTATTTTTCAAGAATGCGGATATGACAATGATGAAAATGGCGGGAGCAGGGATGAGCAAAGCATTAGAACGAAGGAAGGACCGATGATGAGGCTAACAGTGACAAGAAAACCTAAATACTTCTCAATTTGATGCGCGAATCACGCACGGTTGAGCACAGGAAGTGGAGGTTGCACAAGCTTCCCGGAAGCTTGAGCGCAGGCCCTGCGATGGAGGCGTGCGACGCACGAAACTGGTTGTGTGGCAGCCATGGCGAGGTAGGCTAGAAAAGTTTGACTCGAGGGAAGCGGGGAGCTGATACTCCCCTTGGTACTCCCCCAAAAAACGAAGACGAAGGGTGACGTCAGTTTGCACATTTGTCGCACATTCTCAGTTCTTGTATCGTGGTTCAGGACGGTTCCCCAAGGCTGAAATTGGTTGTCAAGGTTTACCGTTAATTACTGTCCTTTTCCTTACTCCACTCTGTCAAATTGCATTTGTTATCTCTAGGCTGTAGTGGGGCATACTCTAAGGAGAACAACACATTAGGTCATTCCTATTACTTGTACTCATACTTGCCTACTAGTCAATCATTCCTACGTTCTATTTCGGACATGGTATTCAAAGCAGATCCCTCCGTAGGACCGCTCCGTTAGGGCCCACCAACCGTACGTACTGCCCCATGAGCTGCTGCCGCCGCGCACTGCCCGGCTAGCCGCGCGCTGCTGCCCTGCCCTGCCCAGCGCTATCATGCTGCCTTACCCCGCGCTGTCCCGCCGCGACTGCCCTGCTGCCGCGCGTGCTGCGCTACTGCTCGTACTGCCCTACTCGCCGCGCGCTGCCCTGCTCGCTGCGCGCGATCCGCGCCACGCACGCACGCAGCCCGCGCCCTACCCGCACGCGCGCTGCCCTTGCGTGCTCTGCCTGCACGCGCACTGCCTACGCGCGCCCTGCCTGCATGCGCGCGCCTACGTGCGCCCTGCCCGCACGCGCGCTGCCCCGCGCCCTGCTGCCCTGCAGTTCGCGCGTCGCCCTGCACTGCAGCCCGCGCGCCGCCCTGCCCTGCAGCCCGCGCGCCGCCCTGCCTTGCAGCCTGCATTCTGCCCTGCCCTGCAGCCCGCGCGCTGCCCTGCCCTGCTGCCCGCGCGTTGCCCTACACCGCAGCCCGCGCGCTGCCGTGCCCTGCAGCCCGCGCGCTGCACTGCCCTGCTACCCTGCCTTGCAGCCCGTGCGCTGCCCTGCCACTACAGCGACTACCGCTACTGCTACAGCTACAACTACAGCAGTAGCTTCTGACGCCCTTGCGCCGCTGCTACTGACTGCCACTGCCTGTCATGGCCATTATCACAATCGTTGCAGCGTCTGGCGGTGGACAGCAGCAGCAATGTCAGTTGGAGACTCTATCGCCGCAGCTGCTTCGCGAGTGGGTTGCTCGGCGAGGCCGCTCTGGTCCTAGAGCTTGGGATTTCATGCGTGCTGGCGGTACTGGACAGCAGCGGCGGCCTCGTCGCCATGAGACTCTCTCGTCACAGCAGCTTCGTGAGTGGATTATTCAGCGACGCCGTCCTATTGGTGGAGGTTATAGTGCCGGAGGTACTTGACAGCAGCGGCAGCAGCGTCAACAGGAAACCCTCTCAACGCAGTAGCTCGCGAGTGGGTTTCTCAGCAACGCGTCACTAGTAGTGCAGAGGCTACTAGTTTAGGTGCCTGTGAGCCTAGTAGCATAGGTGTTGTTTCCGTAGAAGCTTTGCACTGCTTCATGCTTGACTCAGGCGCGACTCGCTGCTTCTTCTGCGATTGCACCACAGTCACACCGCTCACTACACCTGTCCCAGTCTCTCTGGCTGTCCCCTTTGGGGGCCCAATTGTAACATGTACCTCCACATTTGTACCGTGTCCGGCAGCCCCCTCAGGCCCCCTCACAGGTTTCCACCTCCCCTCGGTCTCTAAGAACTTGGTGAGTAGCGCTGCTCTCCAGGATCAGATCTTCACTGTGACTACTCTTGGGGTTGAGTTTGTGGCGATCTGTACGGACTCACGCACTGGCGAGCACCTCGCCGCGTTCATTCGGAGCCCTGGGTCTGGCCTGCACACACAAACCTCTGAGTCGGCACATGTAGATGCGTCGGGTCAGGTAGATGTGTCGGGTCAGTTAGCTGCGTCTTGTTCGTGTCGGCTACTCTCGCACCAGACTCTCCTCTAGCACCACCGTCTTGGTCACCCCTCCCTGCCGCGCCTGCGTGGTATGCACTCTCGTATCCTTGTCTCTGGCTTCCCCAGGTCCCTGCATCTGCTCCCACGCTCGCTTGCACCGCCGTGCCTTCCCTGCGTCGAGGGGCGGCAGCGCGCCACTCCTCACTCCTCCTCGTTTCCGCCGACCACTGCTCCTTTGCAGACTCTCCACATGGACATGTGGGGCCCAGCACGCGTCCGTGGACAGGACTAGAAGCGCTTCTTTCTGCTGGTTGTTGACGACTACACGTGCTACAGCACGGTCTTCCCCGTGCAGCGCAAGACAGATGTCTGCGGTGTTTTGATCGACTGGATCATCGCTGTTTGTCGCCAGCTGAGTGCTCGGTTTCAGCAGGACCTCCCCGACTGCACTCTGACAGAGGCGGTGAGTTTTCCTCCAGCCTCCTTTGGGGCTTTTGTCGTGCGGAGGGCATCGCCCAGCCGTTCACGCTTCCGGCCTCTCCACAGCAGAATGGAATTGCTGAGCGTCGCATTGGCTTGGTCATGGAGGTTGCTCTCACCTCCATGATCCATGTGGTTGCTCCCCATTTTTGTGGTCGTTTGCGGTCCGATACGCCGCGCATCAGCTCAACCTCTGGCCCCGTATCTATGTGCCAGAGACCTCGCCTACACTATGTTGGAGGGGGGAAGTTGGCGATGCGTCGGCGTTTTGGGTCTGGGGTGCACTCTCCCTTGTCCGCTACACCACCGCGAGCAAGCTCTCTCCTTGCACTCTCTGCTGCGTCTTCCTTGGCTTCCCCACCGATGCCCCACCCTGGCAGTTTTACCACCCTGCCTCGCGCCGCGTCCTGTCCTCACAGGACGTCACCTTTGACGAGTTAGTCTGCTTCTACCGTCTCCACCCGCACTGTCTACCCCACTCTCCCCGTCGCCCCTCTTCTTGGTCCCAGGTCCCCACCCGGTAGACCCCCTCCCCCCACAGGGTCGTGCTCCCTCAGGTGTGTCTCAGGTCGACCCACCCCCCTTGGTTGGGCCTTTGGAAGTGTCCTCTGACACCTTTGGACCAGCTGAGGGGGGTGACCCCGCTGCTGACAACACGACGGCCACTCGCTTCTCCCCGCACTTGGAGACCCCTCTGGGTTTTCCACCTCGGCCGTCTTTGCCGCATCTGCAGCATGTCGCTGTGGACTCCGGTGCTGCTGGGGTTGGGGACCCTGAGCATGCAGACTCTGGGGGTACTGGCCCGCGGGTTGCTGAGTCTGGGGGTGCTGGTTCTAGGGGTGCTGACTCTGGGGGTGCCGTATCTGGGGGTGCTGACACTGGGGATACTGCGAGTCCTAGTGGTGGTGGAGTCGTGGGGGCTCTTCTTGGGGGTTCTGGCGTTGGACAGCAGCAGTAGTCTCGTCGACAAGAGACCCTCTCGCCGCAGTAGCTTCGCGACTGGGTTGTTTGGCGAGGCAATCCCGGTGGTGGAGGCTATAGGGCAGCTGGTGCTGGAGGTGCTAGAGCCGCTGGTGCTGGAGGTGCTAGAGCCGCTGGTACTGGAGGTGCTAGAGCTGGAGGTGCTAGAGCTGGAGGTGCTGGAGTTGCTGGTGCTAGAGGTGCTGGAGCTGCTGGTGCTGGAGGTGCTAGGTCTGGAGGTGCTAGAGGTACTGGAGCTACTGGTGCTGGAGGTGCTGGAGCTGTTGGTGCTAGAGGTGCTGAAGCTGCTAGTGCTGGAGGTACTGGAGCTGCTGGTGCTGGAGGTGCTAGAGCTGCTGGTGCTTGAGGTGCTAGAGCTGCTGGTGCTAGAGCTGCTGGTGCTAGAGGTGCTGGAACTGCTGGTGCTGGAGGTGCTAGTGCTGGAGGTACTGGAGCTGCTGGTGCTGGAGGCGCTAGAGCTGGAGGTGCTGGAGCTGCTTGTGCTAGAGGTGCTGGAGGTGCTAGAGCTGCTGGTGCTGGAGGTGCTGGAGCTACTGGTGATGGAGGTGCTGGAGCTGCTGGTGCTGGAGGTACTGGAGCTGGAGGTGCTGGAGGTACTAGAGCTGGAGGTGCTGGAGGTGCTTGAGCTGCTAACGGTCCGGGTACTGTGCCGCGCAGACCGTTTTTCTACCCGCAGCCACAGTCATCCCTGCCACCGCCTGTCTCGGCCCTTTGCCAGGATCTTAGTCTCCTGTGTTCCACTAGCCTCACTCCACCTCTCTTGTGTCCACCGTCCGCCCCGTCTCAGACACAGTTGCCGCCTGGCTCCCCACTGCCTGCTCCTTCTACCTACACTGAGCTGTCACCTCCCTCACTGAGCGTCGTGAGCCTGAGTCTTGTGCCTCCACACATGTTCGTGCTCATCATGTCGCCCGTTTTTGTCCTCCTGCTGTCTCAGGCACTCACACTATGGCACTTCGTCCTTCCTCTGTTCCACAGCGTGTTGCCCTGCCGTCCCCTCCGGCGTCCTCTCTTCCTGACGTTCCTTACCCTGAGTCCGACCTTGTTCGTGCTGCCGGTCCTATTGTCACTCGTCTCCTTGCCACTGTCGGCACTAACCCTTCCTTAAAGTCAACTGCTGTGTTTTCCCTAGTCACTGAGCTAGTCGACACTACTACTAGGCGTCGCCTCGACTACATCGCGGGTCTTGTTACTGAGTCTGAGTCTGTCTATCCTCCGTTCGTTGGGGCCCTTTGCTGTGACGTCCTTGAGGATAGGCAATTTGAGCTTGAGTGTCTTACGGCTGCTTTACCTCGTTTCGCATCCATGCTTCTTTGCCCTCATGAAGACCCGGATGCAC